CCAAATCCACAATGCAACCTCTTAACCATCTTCTCCCCTAAGGGCATCAGCCTCTCCCTCTTCCCTGTCTTTTCACTGGAGCTCAGCTCCCTTGTTCAAAGCCCCATCTCTTGCTACTCTCTGTCTACCTAATCACCTTTTTCCTTTTGGCAAATCCCACATGTTTGGGAAGACGTCCCAGGCTGACCAAAGAGGAGCTGAAACTTTCTGCCTCTAGTCAATTTGGGTTTGGGGAAAAAAAAAAATCACATCAAAGTGGTTTTCCCCAATCTTTATCATCGCTCCACCTGGTAAGAATCTGTGGATTCTTATAAGTCCCACAGATAAAGCCCCCATCTTTGTCCCTACAAAATATATTTATTTTGGGCCTGTTTGAAAGCCTTTACCATCCACTGAGGTTTCCAGTTAACACTATGCTGTGTGGTGCCTGCTCCCTGCTCTGTCTTCAATGTCAAACTTCACAGTGGCCATGAATCTCTATGGGTCTCCTCCTTCGGCTCTGCCATGCGCCATGAGCCCTTGATGAATCTTCCCTGAGAACGATGAGCAAAGAGGAAACTGGCCTCCTGGGACTCTCCCAAGACACGAGCGGTAGGTGGAAGTCTTTATACCAAACACTACCAGGCCATCCGTGACCTCTCGGCATCGCGGTGACTAAAGTTCCCCTTTTCCTAGGTACTGTCTTGTTCAGAGCCACTGACTAGAAACAGTTTCTGTATCAAGCAAAACTCTAGTTTCGCCAAAAGGGAATTCAACTTTCGGGGCTTGGGGTAAAAGCTGATAACAAACACAACACAGCCGGCAGATAGAGGAACACAGAAAACTCTATCTGCGGCCCCTCCCGCCCCCATGCCCTGCACCATCAACATGGTTAACCACTAATTAGGTGACAGAAAAATGTAGAGCACTTCCTACCATCGTTTCCAAAGTTATAAGGAAACAGTTACCCCCACAGAGCTGTCTCTAGGATGCAGAGCTCCCCTGGGAAACCCCAGCTTTCCTTCCCGGCCCAAAACAGAGGGAAAGAGAAAATTCAACACTGGAAATGTCAGATTTTTTTTTGGCCAGTGTCTTATGGAAGTCTATCTGGGCTTCTGGGGATCAAATGGCCCGTCTTCTCTGTGTGCAGACACAAGATAAGCACTCTTTTTCTACCTGCTTCCCCTCTGCCTTCACCTCAGGTCATTTTCATTATTCCTCACTGAAGATACTCTTCGGTGAGTCTTTCCTTAAAGTGACAAAGTGCGAATGTTCACCTTCAAAAGCAAAGCCTCAGAGAAGGTTCTGCAAGTAGCTGGGGGCCTGGGTCCTAGGAGACGCGAGTTCATTGCTGAACGCAGAGGGTAGGGAGGGACCATCCCATCCTCCACACAGAGGAGCCCAGTGCCCAAAGAGCCCCTTCCTCATCCTCTCCAACAGTCACATCCATGGCTTTGGGCTGTCACCTGCGCCCTTGGGTTCTGGTCTTTGTCCAAGGACCTCTTCCCTCCTCCTTGCTGGATGCTTGGTCTTCCTGGAGCTCATTCAGACTCTTCCTTCTTGAGAGCACATCTGCTAGATGAATGTGGAGGCCAGCCTCTGTCGCCCTCCCTCTTGGACTTCCGTCCCCGCTTCCGTCCTCCGTCATGCACAGTTCACGCACGGCTTGGGAACCAGCACACTTTCAAGCGGTGCCCAGCACTTTCCAAACCTGAACCTCTCCCGAACCCCCTTCACCACCTGGCTGTAGCCAGGGCCACCTAAATGGTTATTCTTTGCATACTCTTTTTCTTACATCGATCCACTTTTTTAAAAACATAAATATGTTTACAAAGGAAATTGTAGCAACATCATTTGCCATGAATAGAATGTAAGTCAACCATCAACACGATGCAAAAGAAAAAAAAATTATGAAATCCTAATTAGTCTCCCTAGCTGAAGACACCAAGTTCGAGGCCTGCTCTCTCTTCCTGAAGCAAGGGGATCACCAAATCCTGCAGAAGCGTCAAAGATACAGATAAAGCAAGACCCTCCCTGGGCACAATGAGAAGCGCTAATGGAAAAGAAAGGAAAATACGTTCTAGCCACAAAGACCCATCTGATTTAACACCATTGTGCACATCACCTAAAATCATGGCCTGGATCTGGGGTAAGACAGCCCCTTCCTCTCTCCCAAGAAGCTTCACCGGGCATCCCCTCTGTTCCAGGTACTTTCCAGGGACCAGAGGGCCAAACACCTTTTTTATTTTTATTTTTTATTATTAGTTTTTTAGTGAAAAAGGGCTCTGCATCCACAGGAGACTTAAAGCCTGCATTTAAATAGTGTCCAGGCTAGCTTCTCTCCAGTCTAGCACTAAGGAAAACCCCAGATTCAATTCCCACCCCCAGAAAGAGATTCAATATTCACCCAGAAGTTTCTCTGATGAAGCTCTCAATAGAAAAGGGCATGTGGTTATTAGTTAAGTGTTTGGCATACTTTGTAAGCAGCATTAACCGCCCCTCAAAACCTCAGGGCCTCCCAGATAAACAAGTCCCCACCCAAGTGCCCTTCCCCACCCATGCTAGGGGTAGCCCCCGTGCCAAAAGACAACTGACATTTAAAACCCGATTGAAACCACACCAAACTCTGTCTACTTTAAATGTCAACGAGGAAGGCGGCGGGCTGGCAGCTTTCTCCAGGACTGATTGAAAAACCACTTCTCTGTAGTTGGATTTAAAAATCAATGACTACAGACAGCAAGAGAAGAGGCCAAGGACAAGGCTGACCTTTGAGTCAAGGGCAACTGAGATGATTCACATTTGTAACTAATTACCTCTTTCTTAATCTTTATGTTTGTCTCTCCCTGGACAGGGGCTTTTTCTTTCAAGCAGCTGAGACATCTGACCCGACTAAATTCCAGGCTTCTGTTGGGTCTTGTTTTGTCCATATTTATAGTGGCCATTCTGTGCTGTGTGTGTGTGTGTGTGTGTGTGTGTTTTAAAGGACTACCATCTGTCATTCTTTAAAAGTGCACATAAAAATTTAAGCTTCCCGAATCTTGGTAAGAAAAAAAAGAATGCTAGTATTATTTTTAAGATCTAAAAATTCTTAAAACTCTCTTAAATAAAAGTATGTTCTCTTTGGATACAGAATAGCACCACCAACCTGAAACCAAGAAGTTATGCATTTTTATGTTAGTTTCCCATTGAAAGAGATGGATGACTTTAGAATAATAAATATGCATACAGATAAATTTAAGAACCACATGACTCTGTCTTCCTCTGTGCTAATCACTGCTCTGAGCACTTGACAAATAACAATTTATTTAGTCCTCAAACAACTTAGAAGATTAGGTCCTATTACCCCTGGTTTTATAGAACAGAAGACGAAAACACAGAGAGGTAAAGCAACTTGCTCAAGCTCACACAGCTGGTAAGTGGCTATGCTGGGCACTGAACTCAGGTAGTCTGGCTTTAAGGGACATACTCTTAACCACTCCCCTACTCTGTCCCCTGCCCAACACACGCATTATGTGCTAAATGCTTTGCGCGTGTTATTTCATATAAACCATACGATGACCTCTAAGGTAGGTCATATTTTTGTTCCCATTTTACAGACGGAGAAAATGAGGCATCTTGCCCAACACCACTCAGCTAACTAGTGGGGAAAAGCAGAAAGTCTGACTTCACTCAGTCTATCACACTATCAGTTACTCACTGTCAAACATGTCCCCATGCCCTCCCCCATGTGCCTCTGAGTGGAGTCAGCAAAACAACTTATGTCAGTGGGTTAGGAACTATGCTCTGAGGGGTGCCTCGGTGGCTCAGGTGATTAAGCTTCTGACTCCTGATTTCAGCTCGGGCTATCATCTCGCAGTCTGTGAGTTTGCGCAGTGTCAGGCTCTATAATGACAGCACGGACCCTGCTTGGGATTCCTTCTCTCCCTCTCCCTCTGCCCCTCCCCCACTCATGCACAAACACTTTCTCACTCTCAGAATAAAGAAATAAACTAGGAAAAAAAGAAGAAGAAAAATAAATAAACCATCCTCTAAGTGAATCTGGAACCTTGAATTCATTAGCCTCATAACAGCAGTGTTTGGGCAGGAGGGATGTCAGATTACCTGATCCAATTATCCTTAACAGAACAGACCAGGAGGCTTAGTGACAAGAAGCCACTTGGCCGAAGGGTACATATAGTTACCCCAAATTAGATGCCATCCACGGGGGAGAGAGCGAATGTTGCTAAAGCAGCAGTTCCCACAATGTAGTCTGAGGTCCCATATCCCCAGACCTTTTCCACATGGTCAAAACTTCTTCTGAATGACACTAAGCCACAATTTGCCCCTTTCCTTGCATCTTCCATCCGTGTACCGTGCAGGCTTCCAGAGAGTACATGATGTGCAATCCCACAACAGACTGAATGGGAAACAGACAGGAGGGTCCATCCAGCTATCTTCTATGAAGCCAGAGGGCGCAGAGATGTGCAAATGTAAAATAATGCCTCTCTTCTATTTTTTTATTCCGAAAAAGTTACTTTTCACAAAAATGCTATTTATTTATTTATTTATTTTTTATTTTATTTTTTTTTTTAATTTTTTTTTAATGTTTTATTTATTTCTAGGAGAGAGAGAGAGAGACAGCGTGAGCAGGGGAGGGTCAGAGAGAGAGGGAGTCACAGACTGAAACAGGCTCCAGGCTCTGAGCTGGCAGTCAGCACAGAGCCCGACACGGGGCACGAACCCACGAACCGCGAGATCATGTCCTAAGCGAAAGTCGGACGCTTAACCGACTAAGCCACCCAGGCGCCCCAATAACTGATCATTTTTAAGAGTGTAAGGAAGACCACGAGGCCTGAGAACCACTGCCCGAGACCGTATTCTCCACAGAAGCAGGGACCACACTGGCCCTGTGCGTATCAGGGACTCTGTACATATAATTTTGGATGTTGAAGGAATGCCCAGGTGTACAGGACTGGCCATCCCTTTAGCTACATATATCCACATGCATTATAATGACAGATACTCAGACTCACACAGCTTACCTGGAAATAGTCTGTAATGAATGATCCAAGTTCACTCTTCAGCAGCCTCCTGGGGAGAGAGAAACACTGTCAAGTAGCCCTTGATGGTAGGAGGCTAATTCACGGATGCATGACAATGAGAGAGTGCTCACCCATGGCATAGGGACCAGGGCCAGGTCTAAGAAGGGAGTGTGCTAGGCTCTAATAATACCTCTACACCAAAGTTATTAGGGGATTCAGGCAATGGAAATCCAACAGGGGTATCTGTTCGTTAGTTCACTCTACAAAGATGACCATCGCCAGAGGGCAGTCACAGAAGATTCTAACAGAGTTTGTAGAACCAAGCTAAGGGACTCTGGCTTCATGTGAAGAGAAAAAAAAAAGGAAAGAAAAGAAAGACCATAATTTTATAATCCTCCATATTTGTGGACTTTATGGTTTAAAACAGATTTTTCACACATTCTTCAGCCAAGGATTGAAGGACTGTAAAGTATGTGTGAGAGGAGGACAACTATTATCCCTCCAACATAAGTAAAGAAACAGAGACTCAGAGAGGTCCCCAAAATAAACCAGTGGCAGAGTGAAGACTCAAACCCAGGCCTTCTGCAACATCAACATTTTTCCCCATCATCCCACCCTGTCTTTCTTCCAATTCCATCAGAGACATTCAACGTGGTGTCACAGTTTGGATGGTCTTACCACCCGCCCCCAAGTGACTGAGGCAGTCGTTCAAAGGGAACTACAAGAGGGGAAACAGACTTTATTGATCCGGCAATGTTTATTGAGCTTCCCTTGATGTGCCAGACACCCAGGCCAGCACCGGGTGTACAGAAGTGAATAACCAAGACATGAGGTCAGGGTGGTGTGGATCCATAGCGTGTTAATAAATACACTCTCACTGTAATTTCAAAGAGTCTTAAGAGCTAAAAAAAAGAATTTTAAAAATAGAGGTGTTGGCACCAGGTCCCTGTCTTCCTGTGACAAATCATGGGACTGCCCTGCTGATCTTTCTTTAATTTGATCCAAACAAGGCAGGCGATGAAGCTAAAACCAAGAATAACTGGCCGTCCAGATGCGGCGCGCTCCCTAGGGGGCACCCTCCTCATGACTTCAGATTTGTTTCATCCCACCAGTCATGGTCATGAAGGAGAAATGCTCAGGCTTCTGACAACACCTGCTGGGTACCAACTCCCCCGCCAAAATGTGTTCTCACATGTTCTCCACATCCTGGAGAAACAGGAAGGGAGAGTGAGGTAGCATTATGTGCAGATCCTAGATGCAACAGGGTCAAACAAGAAAAAGAGACACCCACGATCTCAATTCTTGCACCAGACAGAGCCCTGGAAAGCTGCAAACATGTGTTCTGCAAGGAAAATACCATCTTTTCCCCAAGATAGACAATGTACCTGTGGTGGATGCCACGTTTTGAGATCTAATGTAATGGCAGCCTCCCGGAAGGCTGCCCCATCAACACAACCCAGGAGCTCCCCCAGATGGTAGGCAGACCTGAGAGAAATGGGGAACCCTCATCCATCAGAAGGCTGAGGGCAGGCTGCTCATCGCTGCTCTTGGAGGCTAGAAGTGTCTCTCAGACAGAAAACAGAAACCCGGCAGATAGCCCCAGATGGAGGCTCTCAAACGGGAAGAGTCAGAGAGGGCACTTCTGACTGGGGGCCACTGGGAAGTCTTCACGGCCACTGGGAAGCCTCAAAACCATAGTTGAAGAAGCTGGGCTTCCTCAAAAGGTGGAAAACCAAGTCCTAATAATGGGTTACCTACACACATCTCAGGCACTCATGACACTGAGGGGCTGACATGGCTCTGAGACCAAATAATATGCTATGGAGTTGGTGTTCCAAGGAATCTGTGCTGGGAAACTGTGCTCATGAAGATGCTTTGGGTAAATGCAAAAAGGAAGATGTCAGTGGTAAGGGTAGTCCTTCAAGGTCAACAACCATGGAAAACCCTGCTGGAGCACGTTGGATGAGGGACCTATGCAAATGTAACCATTGTTAACGGAGGCTAGACATGGGTAAACAGGTGATGACTGCCCAGGGACATTTCACAGTGGTACTCTGGGTGCATCCTGATGCTACCCAAGTGACGAATCCAAGAAGTATCTCCCCCTACCCATCAGGGCAGGCAGAAAGGCTGGGGCCTCAAGTGAGTGGGAGGTACAGCAAGTTATGGTAAGGCCAGGGCTGCAACAAGCCATGGCCAAGGCCAGAATTTTGCAGAGCGTTACAGGGACACAAAGCGTGGGGCAGAAGTCAGCTGATAAAGGGGCAGAGGCTAAGGACTGAACTTGACATAACCACCAAGACAAAGGCATGGCAGAAAGGACTCTGAAACTACAGGCAGCCACGCCAGGGGCGATGAGAGGGTGATGGATGAGATCAAGCCACAGAGCATAGAGAGCTCCCTCCACCGCACTGATGAGGCTGACCATTAGTCCTTTACTGAGGAGGAACCAGACACAGGAATGCGCACAACCCGCTTTATAGACCTTAAACATAATGGACCACGTATAACTAGGTATGGGAAGAGAACGAGACCCTGGTCTTTTCCTCTACCCTGAGTTTAAAAAACCCTGTCCACTAAGTATTGTTAGTTAGACTTAGCTGAACAGAACTGACCCCATCTGATCACCAAAGCCAACATTCTGTTGTCCCAGCTGAGGGGGGGGGGGTGGTGGAGAGGGAGGGGTTAGGGGCAGCGAGTCAGTAAGCTGTTCTGTCCCTTGCAAAACCTGTCCGACTTCTGGGCACGTTATGCGTTAGACAAGGTCACTGCATGTGTGTACAGAGTTTCTGCTGCAGGGAAATAAGGAATCAACAAAAATGGGCACCAAGAGAGTGCTCATAAAAAATTATGGTTCATTCATACAAGGGAATTTTATGCGATTGTTAAAAAGAGAGAGAGGGAAGAACTCTAATGATACAAAAAGTTCTAGGTTACATTAATTTTTAAAACTGCAGGATACAGAAGTGTATAATATGCTACCTTGCGAAAAGATAAGAGAAAAAGAAGAATACATATTTTTATTTACAGAATACCAATTAATTCGTTGTCAAATCTGCTCTCTTGCTGTTCTGCAAGATCTATGCGATTTGGTTTTCAACAGGCCCTTTGAACTGAAATAGATAGCACCTTGATTTTTAAACGCATGAAGCGTGTATGCATTTAAAAAATTATATAGATAATGATATGTAAATACTGGGTTGTGTCTCCTCTTCTCCATCTCCCCAAGTAGGGACATGGAGGAAGGGGAAGTTGTTGCTGGAAATTCAGCAGGGCAACAAAACACTTTTGCAACCTTTATTCCCTGAAGCTGGGGAATATTCTCCTGCAGACCTCCCCAGTCTGTGGACCTCCTATGAAGTGTTGAATATCCCCAGCTGCTTTTCCATATAGATGTTCCTTATATATGCATAAGGAAGGTCTGGGAGAATGTCCACTAAACAGCTGTTCTAATAATTATCTTTGGGGAACTTGAATGAGAACTGGGTTTCTGGGGTACAGGAGAGGGAGATTCTTCACGGCACACCTCATTATACAAAATTTTTGTACACTGTGAACAAAGTCCAATGAATACACTAAAAAAATTTTTTTTAATTAACAAGAACCACCACTGAGGTTACCGTGAAATGCGGCTGAGAAGGAATTCTGGGAGTGAGTTCCCATCAAGGGCATGACGTCAGGAAGCAGGTGGTCCTAGGAATGGAGAATCCCACAAGCAAGGAACCTGCCAACCCAAACCCTCCTCAGCCTGGCAGCCTGACAATTCAGCTCAGAGAGAAAAGCGGCCAGGAAAGGCCAGAGCTGGCCCAGCCATCGGGAAGCAGACGGCAGCTGAGTCATACCACAAAATCTCCAACCTGTTTCTGTAGTCGGTGTTTATTCTGCTTGCACTGGGTTCACAAGGAAAGAGTACTTCTGAAAAACACAATCTTAGCTGAACTGAGAGAAAGAGGGATTTTCCACCCCTCTGTCATGATGCACCCTCTCCAGGGGGAACTCACCAGTAGCCTCCCTCCAGGGTGACTGATAAGAGAGATCCACGAATTCACTCACTGAATCACTGTCATCTCCTGAACACCTGCTGTGCACCAGCCACAGTACTAGACACTAGAAGGGCCATGCAGGGCTCGGACGGGGATTTCTTCTCCTCGGGGCCACGGTCTCGGGAGACACAGGTGTACCAACCTCTCCAAAAACAGAGAGTGTAAGTATCAAGGCCTTAGAGGTACGGACACCTCCATTCAGAGAGAAACAACTCACCCTGTAACTGCCTCACTAACTTGGCTCGTTTAGGCTGTAAAACCACAAGAAAGAAGAGCAAAGCAGGAGAAAGGCAACAGGATTAGTGAGCCCATGGTTTCCCCAGATGCACAAGAGAGGAAATCTCTGATCCTAGGATGTGTGTTCTGGCTAAAGCATGGGGGCCGAGAACCCAGCACCCCCTTCCACTTTTTCCATCCTCTCCTAGGGCATTTTCCCCAAAAACAGGAAAGTAGTTACTTATTGAAGCAAATAAATATGGAAGAAGAAATAAACTTGCTCTTAGGATGGAGCTGGACGATCTTTGTCCCCAGTTGAAGTTTTACTAAGCACTTACTAGGTGCCAGGCACTGTTGTCCACAACACACACAGCATGTGTTTCCTCCCGTGAGCTGAAAATGAAGCCATACGGTCATAGTGATGGCTCCACTTTTTATACACAAGAGGACCAATGTCAGGGGTCACCCAGGAGGGTGTGCAGCAAGCACAGGGCAGAGATGAGAGGAGCCCCACGGAGTGTGAGGACCTAGAGGCAGCTCCTGGCTCTGAAACCCATGGTTAGCGATAACCTTTGCACGTCAGCGTCCCAGGTTACCCCCTTGTATCTGCTCCCCAGCTGGAGTTTAGGGGGAATGAAGATACCTACTCCGCAGATATCGCAAGGGTTGAAGGAGTCCATTGTAGACCAGCTCGTTCCCAGAAGAAGCCTGGCACACGCAAGCCTCAGCAGGTGCACGCTACCCAGGGCTGCAGACCCTAGGGCCCACACTCCCAAGGACTCGATGCCAC